ACCACCGGTCGGGAATGCCGGGTTCTCTGAGGTGAGTGATCTTGAAGAGCTTGTAAAATCTGAAGGTAGACAAAGCTGATAGCTATTAGAACGAATGGCCGAACACATTTCAATTATGATAGTTCACGGATTTCAGTATACAGATGTCTTTTGTTTTGACTTATAAATAGCTGAGTAGACCCAGTGGAATTCGAACTCATTGATGAACATCACCTACGTTTTTGAACAGAGTACCTCCCTCTCATTTGAGTTATGAGGCCAAACCGGAAACACTAATGGTTTCACATTAGATAACCCACTCAGTTCATAGAGGTATATAGAATCCACCAGGTAATGACCGATTAGATTGATTAGAATGAAGCGGAACCATGAAAATAAATCTGGGACTAGATGATTTGTTTCAATTATTTGTTTCCAGGTAATCGAGAATAACGGTGTTATATTTGATTAGTTCATGTGAAAAGACCAGAACGTGCATTATTTCGAAGCGCTGGCGTGTCCATGCGTGAGTTCAAATCCCACCGAGATTACTGAACATTTTGTGGTTCAAAAGGTTCCAAAGTGGCCGGCGAATTCGATGACGCAACCCATGCCTGAAGGACCAGTGATCACGGGGAACTTGGGGTCACCTATTGGAAACCATCATTCAATCAAACAGGTAATTAATCCCTCTTCCACTTTCTAATCATTATTACGTAACCACAATGAAACAATTTTGTCAATTAGTGCAGCTTCAGTAATCCGATTACATTATACTGTTTACTGCGTCCAGAGTTTACAGTCGTAATCGGCTAACTTACCATGGATTGCACATTTTGTTTCTACTTTTACAAGTCCTTGTCCACGTGTAAATGTCTTTTTAACAAGAGTTACCAACTCCATCGATTGGCCTGATTGTTTTACGTCAGAAAGAGGGGATTTAAAGACATGCTAATATCCTGCGAAAAGTGTCCACTTTCGGTTCTGATACAAACTTATTTTGGCGAAATCAGATAGAAAAGAATAGGCTCTCCGCATAATTTTGGCATGCACCATGGAGTCGTCATTCACTGTTGATTCCACATTCCGGGGATTAAGTATTTCGACTCCGAGTCCTCAGATTCAAGGTCCGAGTCCCAGTAAGGACAGGAACAATGGAATATGCTCCACAGAGTCCACGAATCCCAAAGCTATTGTCACTATCAAACAAATTCAAATTCGCGCATAGTGCTGTGTTGTTATATAGCACCGTTTGCGTTGGGTCGAACAGAAAACCGATTACTTGTTGAATAGAAAAGTTCAGTGGAAAGATGAAGACGAATAATGCTTTGAAGTTTCCAATAAAATTATGTAAATAAATCGGTGGTACCTTGCTTGTTTCGACCCTAACAATGGAACACTGAGTCAGGACGGGAACATAGGTTAAAACAATGCATTGAATAAACGATGATATCACTTGAGAGGTTGGTCCTGGACTACACAATGCTAATTCAAATTACCTCGGGTTGATTAAAGATTCGAGTCCCGCAGGGGCTGGAAATAAGTCCGAATTACAAATCAAATGCATTACAGCAAGTAATTAAATCTGTTAACACCCGGGCAAGAAAATATCTTTGTCGATTCCGGTCCCCTACGGTTAATCTGAAAATAGAATGGTGAATTTATATTTTCTACCACGTATTCTTTCACATCAGAAGTTTATTCTTTCGGCTTGCTTCCATTTCGCTCGTGAACTATCTCACTGGACAGTTGACAAGTCTTGACCAAGTGGACGAGACCATGAATACAGTATTTACCATTGCCTCAATGCTCTTATTGGGACTATGTCACGGATTTGCGCGAACACTGTATTTTCTCATATATATATATATATATATATATATATATCACCGAAAGTTTTTACCCGATCTTCCACCAAGAATGTGTTCTTCTGGTATTCTATTTTTCAGTATCCATATTCAATGGTAGAAAATAATAACTTCCATCCTCATCCGCATTGGCGCAATCCTGCCGAACATATTCAAACAGACAACAATATTCATACCACACACAAATACCATGTAACTTTGCGCACTTCTGAATCGCATCCGGTTGGTATAGAAACAACAGTTCCAATAGTGGCCCACTGTGAACCGAACACTGGCATCAAGGTGAAAATAGTGATTGCTAGCTTTCATGGCTGATCCATTCGTTACAGGTTTCCAATCACTCAGTTCGTGCGCTGTGATTTGGGGAAGAAAAATCGATAACTGCTTATGTCTTATGTCAAACATTGTATGGCGTAAATCACCTTGTTGTCGCAAATTCATCTTCCCCGTAACCTGACACGGACCAACTTGATTTAGCACAAAAAATAGGTTTGTCGTTTTTCGTTACTTCGGTCTTTCTGCTTCTTCTCGCGTGTATCGTTTCGCTTACCGGTGAGTCGTGGCGAACGATTTCAAGAAAAATGTGAAGCATTTTGTAAAAGATTTCTCTAAAACCAGCTAATCGCTAATTCTAAATTGGATTTGTGAACATTTGTAATCATTGTGTCATGTTTTAACCACCAGTGGTCACAGCTGTTCGAAGAAGTAAGGTTTCGTGAAGGCACTCGGTGAGTGCGCGGGGAACCAAATGCAAATAGGACAGTTTGAAGCGGATCGAGTGTGTGTGTGTGTGTGCGCAGGTACCATGTAAAGCTGGGCCTCACCGCTTCTCTTTCCAACACAAACTTTATCTTTAAACTGTTGATCTATGAACGATCACACCTCACTTCATGAAAACTGAACGAACCACTGTAAATTTGCCAAATAAAGGCCTGGTATGATTATTACCAGGCGTGCCATGGGGGCGTGTTTACGTGAAAACACCTAACGAGTTTTTCATCACGAATATCTCAAGCAAGCCCTGATGCATTCCCCGAAACCGGGGTAGCCAAACTGTGATTGATTAGTAAATGTTGTCCAGTATAATCATAGTAATCTGGTTTAAACCAACCAAGGCAAAAATCATAGACGAACTATTTTTCAGATTCTTAACTCCATCAGACGCATATTACTTTCATTCACATATAGCGTTTATTTGCTTTAAAGCAATAAGAAAGCATTAAATGAAGCAAAATTTTAACCCTACCCCGGAAAATTGTTTTCCAGTTCACTAGTTGTGTTTTTTATCTTCTCTTTCCTATGTTGTCATAGTGATTCTGTTATCTAATGTAAATTACAGATTCATACAGTCTTCTGCAGGAAAACGCTTCGAAGTCTTCGGTTTGATCACAATATTTCTTATTTACACATTATGCACGTATATAAATCGATTAATCTTGATACTCCTTCCGGAGCACGGTTTCTGGGTACAGTCCTAGGATTCCAATTTCTCGCTCTGCCTCGTTTTGCTGTCTCACCGCCTTCTCCTCGGCTGCATTTATTAGTGGGCACTCACCAGTTGTGAAATACGCATCTGTTGTCTTCATTTCTGACTCTTTACATACCCATCACTACAAACAGACAAACCAGTTGCTTATACAGACGGCAGACATCCTCCACCCTAATAACTCACCCTAGTCAACCCCTTCATTCTAATGACTAACAATAAGGTATTAATTGACGTTGGTTAGCTATAGACAATCCACTGACACAATGTGTGTAACACCGTGTCGATCGTTTTGGCTGCTTCACAATCCAACCATTTGCGTCGTGTATCGAGTGGAATATCAATTCCTACTGAATAAATGGAACTCTGTCGGACTGAAATGGACACTACCACAAAATTACACATGAACCCGAATCTCTCTCGCTTTCACACATGCGTTCGTGTAGTGTCTATTTGTTTCATGAGCCCTGTCGGGTTGCATGGAATTCAACTAATCTAAACAACATCATGCCTGACGTCACAAACACAAACGATTACCAAAACACACTTACCACAGACCCGGTGAATCAGCCCCTTTAAAAGCCGATTATAGTCGATTGCTTGTTTTGATGTACAGACAGACCAAGAGTACTCTGCTACATGGCTTTTGGCGGCATTGGAACATTCCCGCACTCTCCGATTTCCACTTTATATCAACGCGTGTAGACCAAGCACCACCTCACTAAAGTTTCTCCAGGGCATGTTGTCCTTCCGGAAGTGTAATCATTACCGGTAGTTTGTTTTGTTCCGTCATACATAATCCAATAGCAATACCAGTTCACGGTGAGTAGTTGGTAGCGAGTATACTATTTACACGAAGTAAGAAAACAAGAAATGAACCCACTGAATATATTCGTTTAGACTCAATTACTATTCTGTTACTAACATTGTAATGGATGACCTCATAGCAACGGGGATGTTAGTTGTTAAACCCATTGACCTAAATCTGTAGTGGAAAACCGCGAATGTGATATTCGTGCTATCTTGAGCTTAGCACCACAAAAACGATCTACTAACCAAATCCGGTGTCAGAGATAGAACATAAAACCCGGAACCAGGTTGCGCTGGCAACCTAAACCGCTTGATTATCACCATATTATGTATTATCGTCCAAGTTGAAAAAGTAAACGTTAACTGACACATCGATTCCCTCGTCCTGTCAATTCTGCGTTCAGAATTTACCGGAGCTGAAAAAAATAAACTAAAATAAAACGAAGTTTGCACTGTTCGACTGGTTGTATATTTTGCAATCTATGTGAGCAACTGTGTTACATTTCTGTAACTGTGGCCGAAACCATGAAGATGAAACAGTGACCAATAATGAATGTGCTTTAAAGGCCATTGTGTAGCTGAATAAAAGATGGATACGAGAAGGAGAGCATCCTCCTGAACATCCTGGACACCGATTTGTGCGTTTTGTCGAGAACGCGGTCATGGATAGCTTCGCAGAAAGCGCAAAATGTAGACGGGTGAATAAAACTCGATCCGTCCAATCCTCCCACGGCGAACCAGCCAATGGTCACAAATCAGCTGGATATCGGGATTCGGGATCTGGATTTGATGGTTGTTGTCCGGTAGCGGGGCGAACGGTGGGGGAGGGGGAGTACGGAACATGTCACGATGATGGTTCACTGATAATCCTCGGCGCTGATACTCTCATCGTAGAATACTTTGCGATGAATGGCCAACCGATAGAGTAATTCGTCATGGCTTACTCGCATTCCCAATTGTCGACACACATCAATCCATACCACTTGTTCCGTGTGGTCATTTTCAAGAAATACCTATGGAAGAAGTCGAAAGTAGGAGGAGGGTTGTGATAATCAGGTGGTTTGGTGGGAGTGCACGGGGGAGAGAACGGACTTATGAGTGGATGTAAAAGGGATGTAGCATTTGAAACCATGGGTAAGTTAGGGGGACCAACTTCACCGAAATTCTCTGGTTTCTTCCCATCCATTTCCATTGACAGGGTTTAGAACTACCCTACACAACGGGATTGCATGGAATAAAACTCCAACTATTTTCTGGTCACCACCTATCCGATTAACCATGGCATAAATCTAAATAAATGTGCTGACCTAAAACTGGTGGGCTCAGGATCGGATTAGAACTGTGTTTCTTCATATCCGTTTTTGGTTCAGACCCTCGAATTATGAAATGGGAGTCTCGTATTTCAGTGACAGTGCTGTGCCCTCACCAGAAAATGCGTTTGATTCGGCACATGCTGTGCTGTACAACGACATCACAATTTACAGTGCGGTGTTTGTGCTTCTGTTATCTACCAATTTCTAAGGCGTCAATCAAACTTTTAGTTGACTGGTTTTCGATTAATTGGAACTGCTACAGTGAGTTTATCGAATAATCGTTTTGGTTTATTTGTGTTCAGCGTTTTTTCTTGTTGGCTACCAAAGGTAGCTTAGATGGAGACAACAGTACAAATCATTGATTATGACTCCGTTTTTTTCCAAACGTTAATCAGCCTCTTTTGTTTTTAATAACTGCTTATGGTAGTCATAAACCTAAGCTCTGGAATTGTTCCCGACAAGTATCACAAGACCATCATAGAAAACATTTGGTATCAAACCGGATGTCGGTGAAGCTGTCTACCAGAAAAATCTAGGAAAACCTTCATCCGGAGCATGGCGGTGATAGTGACTCAACCTTTAACCCAGCTGTCCATAAATCTATTCACTTGTCACTTACAGAATAAATTAAAAGTATGAAAGCGAATGTCTGAAACTCAGATTTCCACTGTTTGATACCCTTAAAAACAGGCTATAATGTCCCTAATTTCGGCGAATGTGAGATGAGATGATAGCTATTGTTACAATGAGCTACTTTTCATTAGTATGACTTGGTAAACTAAGCTATCGGACGTTGTGTATTGCACGATTGAAGCCCTAATCATACAGGCTTCCAATAGAATCGATGAAACAGTAAAGTTAGCGAGCCATTTGCACCTATTGAGTACGTTACACTGGCTAGGCATAGCATATATTGAATTTGAAATGATCGATTTTTCTCCAGGAAACGTTCCATTCGGAACATATGTAAGCAAGCATGTGTTAAATATGCATGATTTGTGTAAAATGTATATCAGGCAAAGCAAACTGAGTATAATCCAACACCTGATTGGCCATATAAATCACTCAAACTGACGCCAGCATTGGCTCACCCAATGCTTCATCAGACTCAGGCAACGTTTACCCAAATATTAGAATGCTATACCAGGTGCGCCCGAACAAGACTGACTCTACTTCAACAGCACAATAACCTTGAGAATCAACCAATTACCACGTGAGTAGCTCACATGACTGAGATTGGCAATGGTCATGAACGCGATATATATTAGACCGCCAAGTGAGACGGTACGAAGCATATTTCACCGTTTTATTATCCTTTTCTTGATGAACCATCTGGTACAGACTGAAACCACCACGGATAATATTTTTGAATTGTTAGGCCGAGTTTTGCTTTACTCTGAAGTGCTGGATGTTGGACTTCTTAGAGTAGTGAAGTACTTCTCACTATACTAATGCATAGTATGCTTGATGTATGCACAAGGAGATGATCGATGGATTCTCCTGCTATTCAATAATACACAAAACATCTCGTAATACAGTACTGAACTTAATATTGTAGCAACAGAATGGGCATACAGACCAAGGTACTGTTTGGTCACTGATTCAGAGTAATTCACGAAACCGTGACCAGTTTGTGTGTGGCATTATATACTATGTTCAGTGCAACCCAATTTAACCTCTAACCATGTCGCTCTTGCAATGAACAACACTTCGGCTGGTCACCGAACTTGCCCATTTATAATGTTATCTCCATCGATAGGATCTAAATCAGCTGGTTGAACCCCGGTTTGAATAACGAAGAGTGCTCGGATTGAGGTGCTTTCGAACGCAAATATCCACATAGGTATTTCCATTGTGATGAAAATGATTACAATGTAATAATTCTATTTGCATTTCTTTAAATTCAGTCAGTGATCTAAAGACTCTGGGACCAACTGAAGTCGGTATGTTAATACGTAAACAAGTAAACATATACCTAAACGTTCTGATTCTGAAACCGTTTTATTCGAATGGAGTTGAAGAAGGGCTTGCGATCTCACCTACAGGAGGAGAAAGTGTGTAGTCTGAAGTATCTCGATTGCCTCCAAGCACCCACCCAACAATCGTAAATCTTGCGGTTAAAGTTAGATCCGAATCCACTCGAACTCATTGATGAAAATGATGAAGTTGATAAGCCCTGCATCGTCGGTCGCACTAGTGGGACACGATTGATATTCGCACATGGAATCCCCCATGTGAACAGCGCATCGAGAGTGGATAAATCCGAGATATTGTCGTAAATCAACTTGTGGTTCCACGCTCATCCGAGAAAGAAAAAAACGCTAACTCGTCTGTTAGATGGAGTCGGCTCTTCTGAAGGATGTTAGGTCTGTCCACTTGGTTCAGTTGGTGCGTTTGTGCACTCGACAATGATCTATGCTCCAGCACACTCACAAATTTGTTTTGTGACAAGCTGTTTGATGGAGAATACACGATGTCCGTGCGTGTATTTGAGCAACATGATTCAACCAATCGTCTGGTTGACCCGAAATAACAAGCTTATTTCTTTTGTTTCACTTATTTTTCTTTCGTTTCTCATGCGCCTCGGCAAGTTGGATATTCCATCGGAGCTCTGTGTTCACCAACGGGTATCGCTGTCCACATACATCTCTTAGAGCCCAATTTGTTTCGAACAATGGAATTGGGTGTACGCATGTGAACGACTGGCATGCGAGTGAGGTGTGGATGATATGTGCGGATAAGTGGATGAAAACGCATCGCGAAGTACACCACCCCAGTGTACCTTCAACTCAATCACAAAACGTAATTGTTTTGAGGCGGGGCGTGAAAAATTTCATGGTGGAAGAAAAGTGCATTATTTTGGATAATTTCTAAATCTCTGTAAATTTGTAAAGATGAATGCATGCACAGAACTCATGTAAACCACAGATTTTGTGTGCTCCCATTTCCGTGTAAACGAATTTCTATGTAAAGATAGGGCAAAGGCTAGTATAAAAGTTTAAACAATTCATCTCTTAAGATGGTTGACATGAAAGGTGAGCATTGGAGTTAGAC